TGGGGGTGCATGGGGGACAGGGACACGTGTTAAAGCCTCAGGCTGGGTGTGAGGGTGTCGGGGCATCTAGGGGGACATCTGGGAGGTGGCGGGGGGGGGGCTGGGGGGACACGGACGGGACGACCTCGTCCTCTACATCCCCCCATCTCTGGCAGCTCACTGTCCCTCCCTTCTGCGGCTCCAGTTTCTGGGCAGACAGCGGGAGTCAGGTTCGGCTTTTGTTCAGCTCCCCCGAGGGAGGAAAGCGAACACCGTGACTGCGTGACTGCAGACACACAGACACCCCCGCCTCCCCGCCCCCAGCTGCTCCCTCATCTCAGCGCACAGGCCACCCCCACACCTTTGCTGGTCCTCCCTCCCTGCCGCGTCTGCTTCTCTGCCACCAGCCTTTGCTTTAAGACCTGAACACATCGGGGCGCCTGGGGGCCTCAGCGGTTGGGCATCTGCCTTTGGCTCAGGTCGTGATCCCGGGGTTCTGGGATCGAGTCCCACATGGGGTTCTCCCTGCATGGAGCCTGCTTCTTGATCTACCTGTGTCTCTGCCTCCCTCATGAATTAAAAAAAAAAAAAAAAAAAAAGACCTGAACACATGGCCATACTTGCCCTGAGCCTTCTCAGAGCCTTTCTGGGCCTGATTTCCCATCCATAAGATGGGATTTAACTGAAGCCGTGAGCCCAGCCCTTAGGTTCCCACCAGCCTCCTGCCCTTATTTCAGGTTTTAGGAAAAAACCCACAAGCATAAGATTGGAGCTTTGAGACATTCACAGATTCCCAGGGCCTCACTGCTTCCTGGAAAGTCTGTCTGGCGTTTTTATTCTCCAGAGTTACCTGTTCCTTGAATTCATTCAACGGACATTTAGTGGGTCCCTCCCTGCTGTAGGTGCTGGAGGTCAGGCTGGCTTCACAGACCCACCCTCAGAAGGGCCCCACGTTTGGTTTCATGCTGTCTCCTCTGACATTGTAGGCGAGGAGTAGCCTGAGAGGAAGCAGGGAGTATTCAGAAGGGGACACGATGTGGCATCAGGAGGGGAAAGGAGCAATGAAAACAACAACAAAAACCCTGCTAAAAATACCCTGTTCAGGTGCCTTCCAGTGTAGACAAAAGGAGAGGAATGGGCCATGTGGACAGTGGAGGCGGGAGGGTGCTCTGGGTGGAGGACACCACAAGAGCAGACGCCCCCAGACCAGAAAGGAGGGCACCGTGACCTTGGGATTGTGTCTGAGCAGGGCAAGTGTAGGGACTTGATGGGGGGTAAAGTAGTGGGGGGCAAATTCTCCCTGTAGAGCCAGGCAGTAACATTTTTGTTTCTGGTGGGGGGTGAGAGGTAGGGGGGACCCAGCCCTCCTGTCTGCCACTGCAGAGAGCAGCCAGAGGCCGCAGCACACAGATGGGCATGGCTCCATCCCAATAAAACTTTTTTTTTTTTTTTTATTCATGATAGTCAGAGAGAGAGAGAGAGAGAGAGGCAGAGACACAGGCAGAGGGAGAAGCAGGCTCCATGCACCGGGAGCCCGACATGGGACTCGATCCCGGGGCTCCAGGATCGCGCCCTGGGCCAAAGGCAGGCGCCAAACCGCTGCGCCACCCAGGGATCCCCCAATAAAACTTTATTTACAGACACTGATATGTAAATTTCATGTCATTTTCACGTATCAGAAAATATTACGCTTCTTTTTGACCCCCCCACTTTTTTTTTTTTTTTATTTATGATAGTCACACACACAGAGAGAGAGAGAGGCAGAGACACAGGCAGAGGGAGAAGCAGGCTCCATGCACCAGGAGCCCGACGTGGGACTCGATCCCGGGTCTCCGGGATCGCGCCCTGGGCCAAAGGCAGGCGCTAAACCGCTGCGCCACCCAGGGATCCCCCCCCCACTTCTAAATGTAAAAACCATTCTTAGTTCTCAAGCAGCACACAACCAGGCAGGGGGTGGGATTTGGCCCAAGGGGACCAGTTTCTATAGAAACCTTGGGGGGATACCCACCCCCCTCCCCAGAGCAGTCTGGATTTTATGCTGAGTGGGGCTGCTGGAGGCTTTCGGGCAGGAGGGAGAGAAGAGCTGATGAGGCTTCAGGAAGCTGGGGGCCGAGGACAGGGCTGGGGAGACCAGAGTGGAGGTGTCCCCAGATGGAGCCCACAGGGATGGGGCTGGACCAGGCAGGACGGGGTACCTGAATAGAGTTCACAGCCAGTGGGGTTCGCTGGTGGAGTGGGTGTGGCGTGAGAGGGAGGAGTCAGGTGAGGTCCAGACTTGGCCCGAGCCCCTGGGGGGCAGTGGGGGGGGGTGAGGGGTATTTGTCTGAGCTCCTATAGTATCCAGGAGGACCGGCCAAGGCGCTGGGAAATCCGAGGCCTGCGCTGGGAGATCCATTTCAGCTCCCTCCCTGGCCAAGCCTGAGAGGGGCACTCTGCCTCTGGGTGTGGGAGGCAGGAGCCCTCAACACCCCCCCCAGTTGCCTATCACCAAACTCTCCATTTATCTGCCCCGCCTCTCCCTCCCCCTGCCCAAAGATGTCCCAAGAAGAATCACAGACAGATCTTGCCCCTGGAGACATGGGGGTGGCATCTGGGGACATCTGTGGTGGTCACACTGGGGGCGCTCCTGGCATCGAATGGGTGGGGGCCGGGGATGCTGCTCAGCTCCCCCCCCAACCCTGCAACAGAGAAGGATCTGGGGCTGAAAGTCTGCAGTGCCTCAGTGGAGGGACCCAGCCCGATGGTGCCTGTTGCATTATCTATCCCATTTAGCAGTTGGGGAATTGAGACCCAGAGAAGGAGCGTGACTGGCCCAAAGTCACACAGCGTGCGTTCCGTGACCAAGTTGTATTCAGGCCCCCCCTTCCTGTCTGCAGTCGCAACTGCTAACCCATTTCCAGAAGGCTGTCTCTGCACTCATCCCTTCTCTCCCCTCTCATCCCTGTGCCCCACCCCACCCCACGGCCCCTATGTGAATTTGCAACCACATCAACAGTGAACCATTCCATTTTGGAACCTTCCGTGGCTTCCCTGAGGTCCCCCATTCCTGGTTCCCCCCCCTCCTTCCGTGGATGCACCTCCTCCTCCACCCTACCCTTAAGTATGACCTCCAACCACCTGGTCGTGCACCAGCGCACAGGCAACTGGGCGGGTGCAGGAAAGACATAATTTCATGATCTCTCCTGAACTTGATCGTGTCCCTGCTACCCCCCAACTCCTGCCCATCCTCCTAGTTTCAGCTCAGATGCCCCCTCTTCTGGGAAGCCCTCCCAGACTCCCCTGGTGTCGAGACATCTCTGAGCTCCCAGCTGGCCTGGGCCTCCCCCATCACAGCCTTGATCACCCTGGTTCATCAACCTATGGGTGTATATCTCTCCCTAGAGACTCCCCGTGCAGCACCAGGCACCCCATAGGACAAACGGACTCCGTGAATGAGACTCCCATGGCTCTGAGGGCCTGGCCTCCTCAGTCATTCCTCCACTCAGCAAAGACTTACCAAGGGCTCCACCCCACCCTGGGGTGCCAGGCCTATGTCAGGGAGGCCTCGGCCTGGCCCTGCTGTCCAGGGGCTCCCAGTCTAAGACAACGGCCAAGAGCTGTGTCCTCTCCGGGTCTCGGTGATTTCACTGACCACCTATGACGGCCCGTGTCCCTAGGACTCAACATTAGATATGCACACGGGCCCACGCACATCTGTGCTTGACGAATGAACCCATGATCGCTGCACTTACTATGTGCCCCGCACCGGTGCGTGCTTGCGTAGACCATCTCCTTAGTCCTCCTCCTGCTAATGATAACCCTCTGCGGGCAGTAGCTACTGTCTATTTTGAAACCCATTCTCCAGGTGAGGAATGTTAAGTCCGAAGCAGGTAAGCAAGTATCTTCTGGGTGGGGTAGCTGTGAAGCGCGGAGGGCCTGGGGGCAAGGCCCTGGGTTCAGATTCAAGTTTGTCAGACTGACTGCTGGGTCCCACCGCTGCGGGAGAGCGTGAAAGAGGGCCGGGCGGAGGGGGCGTCGAGGGGACGTCCGCCGGAGTCACCTGCCACCGCCGCCGGCTCGGACCAGGCGGAGACGCCGCAGCGGGCAGCCGCCCGGGCGGGGCAGCCGGGCCTCCTCGGCCGCGTCGGCCTCCAGGCTGGAAGGTCAGGGAGCGTCCAGCGGCGCCCGGCCCCGAGCCCAGGCCCTCCCCGCGCGACCCCTACCTGGGGGGCGGGGGGCGGGGCTCTACGGGACACCGCCCCTCCCTCCGGACCACCAGCCCCTCCCTCCGGGCGCCCCAGACCTTCCCTCCCGTTCTCCATCCCTCCCTCCGGACCCCCCAGCCCCTCCCTCCGGTCCTCCATCCCTCCCTCCGGACCCCCCAGCCCCTCCCTCCGGACACCCATCCCTCCCTCCGGACCCCCCCAGCCCTCCTCCGGTCCTCCATCCTCCCTCCGGACCCTTGCCCCTCCCTCCGGACCCCCAGCCCCTCCCTCCGGTCCCATCCCTCCCTCCGGACCTCCTGCCCCTCCCTCCGGACCCCCCAGCCCCTCCCTCCGGACACCCACCCTCCTCCGGACTCCTGCCCTCCCTCCGGTCCCATCCCCCTCCGACCCCTGCCCCTCCCTCCGACCCCCAGCCCTCCTCCGTCCTCATCCCTCCCTCCGGACCCCCCAGCCCCTCCCTCTGGACCCTCCAGTACCCGCTCCGAACGCCCCGTGGTCCCCCCTCCGGCCTCTCCCCCAGCCCCTCCCTCTGGTCGCCCCGCCCCTCCCTCCGGCGCCACCTGCCCCTCCCTCCGCGCTCCCAACGCCCCTGCCCCTCCCTCCGGGCCCCCCCCCAGCTCTCCCCTCCGGGCTCTCCCAGTCCCTTTCTCCCGCCCTCCCCAGCCTCCCCCTCCCGACTCCCCAGCCTCCCCTCCGGCCCCCCCCGCCCCTCCCTCCGCGCCCCCCGCCCCCCTCTCCGCGCCCCCCCCGCCCCCATCCCTCCCTCTGCCCCCCGCCCCCCCCCCTCCGGCCGGTGGCCTCCCGGACCTCGGAGCCATGAAGCAGCTGTGCGTGTGCTCGGCCGCCTCCTCCGCGGTAGGGCCCGGGCAGGGGGCGCGGGGCGGGCGGGGCTCGGGCCCTCAGTCTCCCCTCCCCGCCCCGCCCCGCTCCGCCCCTGGCCGCGCCCGGCCGGGACCCCCGCCCCCAGACCCCGGCGGGACCCGCAGCGAAGGGGGGGCAGGGGGTGGGGGATGGGGGACATTCGAGGAGACAGGGGGACGTTCTGGGAGGCAGTTCTGAGAACAGACGAGGCAAATCTGGAAAATCTAGAGGACAGTTGTGGGTGCGTTCGTTTGAGGGGACAGTCTGGACTCTTGAGGGATCGTTTTTTGGGAAAATATATTGACATTTGGAGAATAATTTCAGAGACCATTCAAGGGATTTTTTTTGTAAGGACATTTTTAGGAGAGATGTTGGGATCATTTGGGGGGATGATTTTGGAGAAACTTCAGGAATTTGGGGAAGACATTGTGGAATGCATTTCATGCTAAGTGAGGTATTTGGGGGGCAGATCTTGGAACTTTGGGGGACAATTGTGTCATTTCAGGGTCAGTTTAAGAAGGATGAATGTCAGAGGACGGTTCTGAGGGACATTTAAAGGGGCCCTTTTAGGGATTCCTATGGGAGGGTTTTGGAGGTGCGGGTGATGTTGGAAAGGTGGTTTTCACAAAAGGACCAGCTAGGGACCCAGGTGTAGGGGAGGACAACGTTCAGGAAAGATGCTGGGGGCTGATCTGGGGGGAATTTAGTGGGTGTAGGATGGACCTGGGGGGCAGCTGCTGGGGGAGGCAGGCTTGGGGGACGCGGTCTCAGGCCCCCGCCCAGGACTGCCTCCCCCTGCAGCTGCGTCTCAGCCCCACTGACCTTGGCTCCTGCCCGCCCTGCGGCCCCTGCCCCATCCCGAAGCCGGCAGCCAGAGGCAGGCGCCAGGCAAGTGCCCAGGGGCAGGTGGTGAAGCCTGGAGCCCCAGGGAGGGGGAGCAGGGAGGGGGTGGCGATCGCAGGGCCCACACGACCCTCTGGGTGTGTCTCGCAGAGCCAGGAGTGGGGCAAAAGTGATGAGCGGCTGCTGCAGGCCGTGGACAGCAACGACGCTGCCCGGGTGGCCGCCCTCATCACCCGCAAGGGACTGGTGCCCACGAAGCTGGACCCCGAGGGCAAGTCCGCGTGAGTGCCCACACCCTGGGGTGGGGCGGTGTGAGGGAAGGGGGGGCCACCTGCAGCTGATCCCTGGCCTTTGACCTCCAGATTCCACCTGGCTGCCATGAGGGGTGCGGCCAGCTGCCTGGAGGTGATGCTGGCACACGGCGCCAACGTCATGAGCACGGATGGGGCAGGTACTGCCTGCTGGGCCCCGGGGGGAAGGGATGAGGAACTCAGACCTGTGCCCAGCCTGAGGGTCCAGGCAAGCCATCCCCTGTGGCTTCTGTGACCTGCTAAAGGAGGGGGAGTTCCTCCTTTCCGTGCTCCCGGGGACAGGTCGGGCTGCAGTGCCCATGGAGGAGGACTCCAGCCGACTCCAATCAGGGTCAGTGGACGGCTTGCGGTTGGGGAGTGGCCAGGACTCAGGTCATGGTTAAGTCACAGGAAGTAGCTGCGACAGAGGAGTACCTGAGCGTGAGAAGTCTCTGGGGTTTAGAGGGAGCTGGCGCTCTGGGAGTAGCTGGGATAAAAGGAGAATCTGGGTGGATGATTTAACTAGGACGCTGAGGGAATATCTGAGGTAGGATGCATGGCCAGAGGGAGTGGTTGGAGCTCAGGATGTAACTAGGTGTGGGCCAAAGCCATGTCTGAAGCTTTGGGGCAACGTAGGAGGCAACGTAGCAGCCAGGGTGTATGGAGCAGCTGAGGGTCTGTGGAGCATCAGACAGGGAAGTAGGTAGTGCCTGGAGTAGCAAAGGTTTGCAGACCAGCAGGAGCAGATAGAGTGACTGGGTTCTGGGGCCATCCCTGAAGCTTCAGTGTCATCGACCCTAAAGGGTCCCCCAGGGGGCTTGAGGGGTGGGTGGGTGCAGCGTGTAGTCTGGGATACAGACTTGCTGGAGCTTGGAGAGTCTCTGGCTGTGGGGAGTAGCATGGTTTAGAGAAGTAGCTGGAGTCTGGGGACTTACTGGACGCAAGGAAGCTCATCACAAATAGCTGGCACAGTTTGGGGAGCAGCTGGAAGCTCCTTGAGTATGGGGAGCCCTAGCAGACACTCCCTGCCTTTCAGGTTACAATGCCCTCCACCTGGCCGCCAAGTATGGGCACCCACAGTGCTTGAAGCAGCTGCTACAGGTCATTTACTTTCTTGTGTCAGATACTCCCTCAAACCTGGATACTTCCTTCCTCTGAACCCCGGTCGAGTCCTAGAAATCCCCCCACCCCAAACCTCCAGATACTTGCTGGATCCTAGATATATGTCTTGGCTTCTTTAACGCCTGATCCCCAGCTACTCCCTGGACAACCGGCTACTCCCTGAATGTCCAGATACTTCCCACACCCAGGAGATGCTCCCAACACCAGATATCTCTGGAGCGCCAGCTTCTCCCCAAACCCTAGGTAGTTTCTCAGCCACTCTCGGGGCTCCCATCCAGCCCCTAAGCCCCCAGGGTTTCCTGAGCTCCCAGCTATTTCCTCTTTCTCACCAATTTTCGTAAAGGCCAGGTCACCTGGGGGCCGTGAGGGGACGGGCTCCGCAGAGCAGGCATGAGGGAGGGAAGATGGCTGAGGCGTGAAGGGGCAGTTCTTAGAGACCCTCCGGTGACCCGCACACGCACCCCTCCCCAGGCGTCCTGCGTGGTGGATGTTGTGGACAGCAGTGGGTGGACGGCCCTGCATCATGCAGGTGGGTGTCCCGCAGCTTCGCCCTCACCACAACCCAGGGGGTGCCGGGCTTGGGGTGCTTCCACCCCGGGCTCACCACTAATACCCGGCAACCCTTTGCACTGCAGACAGTGACCCCATTGCACAGGCAAAGGTGACTGAGGCTCGCCCACAAGAAAGTGGGGGAGACCCAGGCTGTCTGACTCCTGGTCAGCACAGCCTAATATCAGCCAGGCCTGGGTGACCCCTGTGGTGGCGGTGGGGGGCGGAGGGGAAGGGGGTGACCAGAGTGCAACTTCCTTTGACAAAATCCTGGGGTGTGGAGGGAGGGGTGGTCTCAGCAAGGCCAGAGATCTGAGCGCCCTTGGTAACCATTAAATCCGGATTCCTTCCGGAGGGGCGGGGAAGGGTCCCACCTGCGGGAGCCAGATCCCAGCCCAACACCTGCCCACCTCACCCATGAGACTAGGAAGTGACTTTCCCTAATGATTCAAGGAGCCGCTGACCCTTTGGCAACCCAGTACTTTTGTGTGTGCTTTGGGGTTTCAGTGGCGGGGAGGTGCCGCCTCCTAGTGATGGTAACGCCCTGGGTCGCACTGCGGAGGCTCACTAGGTGTTTTTTTGTTCAGTAAAGATTGATTGAGTTCCCGCTCTGTGTGTCAGGCTCTAAGCATTGGGGTTCCACCAGAAAACAAAATGCCCCCCCCCCGCCCTGCGCACAGCACGTAACCAGATCGCGCTCATTGGCTTTGCCAGCGGACCCCCCCCCCATCTTCCCGGGTCACCACATACACACCGCCTCCCACTTGCCTGACTTTCCCAAGCGCTTCCCCACTTCATGGCTCTTGCCTCCAAGAAACCTCTACGCTCCTCCTTTCACCTTCAAAACCCAGAACCCAGCCCCAACCCCAGTCCCAGCTGACCCGTGATCCCAACAGTAAACGTTCATATTTGCCCTATGAGGTTGGCTGCACGACAGGTGCCCAGAGCCAGTTAAAGAGATGAAATATGTAAAAATCTGTCAAAAGTTCTACCTTAAGAGGGAGCCTTGGCAGAATGTGGAGAGAGCAAGGGGACAGCGGGTTTGCTCTGTCTCTGACCCTACTGGCTGGACCTCAGTTTCCTCATCTGTCAAATGGGACTCATACCTTTGCCTGCCCACCCAGGAAAGGCCGGAACTTCTCATGAAACAAGGGCTAAGGGGGATCCCTGCCTTTGGCCCTGGGCGCGATCCTGGAGACCCGGGATCGAATCCCGCGTCGGGCTCTCTGCATGGAGCCTGCTTCTCCCTCTGTCTGTGTCTCTGCTTCTCTGTCTCTCTCTCTGTGACTATCATGAATAAATAAATAAAATTAAAAAAAAAAAAGAAAGAAACAAGGGCTAAGGATCACACCAGCCAGAAGGCCCCCCCAGAAAATGCCTAAGCCTTGTCCTACCTACCCTCCCTCTTTTTCCAGCTGCGGGCGGCTGCATCTCCTGCTCGGAAACGCTTTGCTCCTTCAAGGCACAACTGAATCCCCGAGATCGGGTGAGCCTCTGGAATCTTTTTGGGCAAGAGAGTGTATTTGAGATACACTGTCACCAAGTGGCAGCATCCCAGGCACCTTTCTTTTTTTTTTTAATTTTTTTTTAAGATTTATTTATTCATTCATTCAGAGAGAGCGAGGAGAGAGGCAGAGACACAGGCAGAGGGAGAAGCAGGCTCCACGCAGGAAGCCCGATATGGGACTCGATCCCGGGTCTCCAGGATCACATCCCGGGCTGCAGGTGGCGCTAAACCGCTGCGCCACCGGGGCTGCCCCCAGGCACCTTTCTAAAAGGGGCGAAAAGGTCTGGAGTGAAGGTCAGAGTCACTCGTAGAGGCTTCCCTACCTCCCAAAGTCAGCCTCTCACGTTTTTGTCTCCCCCTCCCCCTCATTCCCACCAGTCAGGCACAACGCCCCTTATCATAGCAGCGCAGATGTGTCACACAGATTTGTGCCGCCTCCTCCTGCAGCAGGGGGCCACTGCAAATGACCAGGACCTGCAGGGCAGGTGAGTATCGCCCCTCCCTCCCAGTCCATCCATTGTACACTGTGTGACCTTGGGCAAGCCTCTGAACTTCTGTGGGTGGTGGGGGTCTGGTTGACCTTTTCCCCCCACCACCCCCCGCCCACCCTGACCCGGCCTGGGTAACTGAGGAGGGCTTGGGGTCTTGGAGGGGGGGTTAGAGAATGTCCTCACGTCCTTAGCGGCCCCTTCCCCTGGTAGGACAGCCCTGATGATGGCCTGTGAGGGCGCCAGCCCCGAAACGGTGGAGGTGCTGCTGCAGGGCGGGGCCCAGCCGGGCATCACCGATGCCCTGGGCCAGGACGCCGCTCACTACGGAGCCCTGGCAGGAGACAAGCTCATCCTACACCTCCTGCAGGAAGCTGCGCAGCGCCCCTCACCACTCAGTGGTATGCAAGCCCCGCACCCCAAAGCAGTTTCAAGCATCCCTCCACCTGTGTCTAGTCTAAGCAGATCCAGAGAAAGGTCACCCCCTTTCTCTGCTCTAGAGAGTTTCAAGGTATCCCTGTTTGCTGCCTTCCGGGGTGTGTGTGTGTGGGGGGGTGGTTCATGTGTCCGCTGATGCTACTCAGGTCAGTGTCAAGGAGCCCCAGAGCTTCTAGAATGATCGAGGCATCCACTCTGTTTTCCTGGGTCATCCTTATGCTTGGATCTTTCCTAAGAATTGGTGCCCCCCCCCCAGTCCCATCCTGGAGGTGCCACTGTCCTTCCCCTTTGGAGGGTTCCAAGCCCCTCAGGTTAGCTTCTGCAAAAATAGTTGAGTCTTACTTTAAAACTCCTGATACTTGGGGAATTGGGGGCCCTCCCCAGCCGTAGGTCCCCTCCCTAAGAGCCCTTCCTAGGGCTGGGAATGGAGTCCCCAAACCACAGTGCCTGACCCTGCTTCTCTCTCTTCCCTGCCCTCCTAGAGGATGACTCAGGCGAGGCATCATCTCAGGTACGATCTCAAAGCAGTGAATGAGTCCCCTCCCCCTGCACACACTGCCTCCCCCACCCCACCCCCGCCGCCACCTCCCCCGCCCTGCCTTGCCCCACACTTTATGGGAAGAGGACGAGATGGACTTCCATCCCAGGGTTGTGACCTAGGAAGATCTATTTGGGACGAATGCTACCTCCAGGGTATGCTGCCACCAAGTGACAGCAGCACCCACAGTGTAGGAGCCCTCGGGACTGGGTGAGAACACTGCAGCGGGGGGCAAATCGTGGGGCTGAGTTGGGTGAGGGCTGGTGTAGGTCAGGGAAGAAGGCAGGTCTGCCCCCCACACCGTCTCTCTCCCCCCCACCCCGCCCCCAGCCCTATGGCATCTCAGCTCCACAGGGAAAGTGAACCTGTAAACAATCCAGTCCTAGTACCAAGTGCCGAGTACAGAGAGGGGCAGAGAGTAAAGCACTAGATCTGGAACTCTCAGGAAGTATGCCCCCCCCTTTATGTGGGGCTAAGCAAGGGCCAGGGAGAGGCAGGGACTTGCCCAGGGTCGCACAGGAAGTGAGGGCAGAGTTGGGGCTGATGACGGTAGGGCTGGACCCCGGAGTTGCCATGTGCCCCCCTCCCCTCAGAACTCTGTGTCCAGCCATGAGAAGCGAGGGGCTCCCAAGAAGCGGAAGGCACCTCAGCCCCCCGCCAGCATCCCTGTGCCGGTGAGAGACGCCCTGGCCCCTAGGAGGGGAGATGAGGGAGGGGAGACGGGGGTCGGGGGGAGCTCTGACTCAGGTGCGGCAGCAGACAGCCCCTGGGCCTCATGTGAAGGTGGTGGGTCCCCGGGGCGGCGGGGGGGCCAGGATGATCGAGACGCCTATGAGGAGATCGTGCGGCTGCGACAGGAGAGGGGCCGCCTGCTGCAGAAGATCCGGGGCCTGGAGCAGCACCAGGAACGGAGGAAGCAGGAGGTGAGGGGCCACAGGGACACGGGCCTGGGGGGGAAGACCCCCCCTTACCTCTCCTCGCTCCCTCCTCCCTGTCTCCACCCTCGCTCACTCCCCTCCAGCCACACGGGCCTCCTTGCTGGCCCTCCAGTGTTCTGGGCCTCGTTCTGCCCCAGGGCCTTTGCGTGTGCTGTGCCCCTTGCTTGGAACACTCCCCCTCCAGAAGTTTCTGTGGCTCCTTCCTCCTTTTCCTGTAGGTCATTGCTCGGAGAAGACATCTCTCCCGGTCCAACTTATTTAAAATTGTGACAGTCCCCACTCACTTCCCAATTCCCTTCATTTTTATCCAAAGCACGTAACTGCTATTGTGGCCATGCCACATATTTGATTCACATTTGCCCGTTTGACTGCCAGCGAGCCCCGGGGAGAGGCGTGGTTGACCGCGAATGCCTCACGGTAGATGCTCGATAGTTATCAGAGGAAGGGATACGTGAGCCGACGAGTGAAGGACTTAGTGGCCCAAAACAGGGTCCGACACTTAATAAATGTTGGTCACGAGTCGGGGGGTGGAGCCGTGCTGGGTGCCCAGTGGGTGCTCGGCAGATACCCATGGTGAGGCCCGAGGGCTACTTGGGAGGTGGAGTGGGTAGGTCCCCAACCCCAGATTTCAGCCCTGTCCCCCATTCTTCCCATCAGCTGCCAGAGGCCGAGGCCAGCTCCCTCCACAGCCTGGAGAGACAGGTAGGTGGCAGGTGCGGAGAGAGCCAGCCTCCCCGCCGCCCCGTGTTACCCCGCACCCAGGGGCTGGGCGAGCCCCCACTGCCACCCACCCTTGCAGGTGCAGGAGCTGCAGCAGCTGCTGGCTGAGAAGCAGGAGGAGAAGGAGAGCCTGGGACGGGAGGTGGAGAGTCTGCAGAGCCGCCTGTCGCTGCTGGAGGTGGGCGTGCCCCCCCACACACACACACACGCCGTCACAGACGGCACGCTCACACGTGCGTGGTCTCACCTATAAAACTGGCAGCCACCCCCGGCGTCCATGAACGTGGACTCACAAGCGCATGCTGGAGATACTGGCGCACGCGCGACAGACACTTCTCCATCACATGCAGACGACACACCCACAAATACATGCACGCATGCAGATCTACCCCCAGATACATGATCACACAGACACAGGCATGTGCGTAACCAGGCTCACGTACACAAACCCACACGAGTACGTGAACACGGTTGCAGTCATCACATGTACACACACCAGCCTAAAACACAAGCACAAGGTCACGCGTCATCACGGGAACTAACACCGGGGAAGCGGGGGCCGTGCCACATGCCTGTGCTCACCCCAGACCCACAAACCCTGAGCCACACAGATGTTCTGTGCCAGGTACTCACATGTGGACACCCCACTCCAGAATCTGGGACACGTCCTTGTGAGGACACAGCCCCGCACCCCTCTCTCCATCCCACACACACAGGCCGCACGTACAACCCCAGGCATTGGGTAGGGGTCGCACATTTGCGTGGCTGCTGGGCTGTTCTCTGTCCTTCCTGGGGAGCCCAGTGCAGCCCCATGGCCCGCGGTGAACACTGGGGGGCCAGACATGGCCAGTCTGATGCTCTTGGGGGGTGATGGAGACATGCAAACTCCCCTGTTCTCTCTAGATTCCTGGGGGGGCAGTCTTGGGGGTGGGAAGGGGGTCAGACCCGAACTGGATCCTGTCCCCCCTACCCCCCAGAATGAGAGGGAGAACACCAGCTATGATGTGGCCACCCTGCAGGATGAAGAGGGTGAACTGTCTGATTTTCCAGGTGTGCCCCCACCCCTATCCCCCTTCCATGTACCCCATCCACCTTGTCCCTGGGGCCCCCTGGGAAATGGAGCCTTGACTCACAGGCATGGAAAGAATTTGAAGCTGGCAGGGACGTCGACCCCCACCCATTATTCATTCCACGTGCCTGCCTTGGAGGCTCCGACCCCCTGCTCTGGACTCCCAGCCCCCACCCTCTGTGGCCCAGGACCCTTGGGGCTGACTCTGTGTGCCCACCAGGGGCCGAGGCTCTGCTCTGCAAACGGCTAAGCCCCTCAGCCCAGGAGCTCTTGGCCTCACTGCAGGAACAGGTGGCTGCGCTCACCAGACAAAACCAGGAGCTGATGGAGAAGGTCCAGGTGGGGACACCGAGGCCCAGGAGGGTGGGGTCGGGAGAGATCTGAGGACCCGAGGGATGGTTCTCCCCGGGGAGGTCAGGGTGGGCACATGGCTGAGTCTGTGGGCAGGGCAGGTGGCAAGGCCACTCCATGCCCTCATGGCCACAAGCTCCCGCCAGCTCCCCACTACCTCCCAGATCCTGGAGAGCTTCGAGAAGGATGAGATGGAGGTGAATGGGTCAGCCGAGGTCATCCCTCTGGCGCTCTATGACTCTCTCCGGGCTGAGTTTGACCAGCTCCGCAAGCAGCATGCCGAGGCCCTGCGGGCACTGGAGCAACTGGAAGCCCGGGGGGCCCCTGGAGAAGAGGAGGCAGCCGCTGGGGAGGGCCGGGGCATGGGACTCAAGACCACCAGGAATGGGCCGATGGAGATGGAGCTTGATGGCCTCACGGCTGCAGGATCCAAAGTTCACGGAGCTGAGACCACAGAGGAGGAGGCTGCAGGAGTTGAAACTGTGCAGACAGCATCTGTGGAGGCCGAGGCCACGGAAACAAAATCGACGGGGGCGGAGGCCACAGAAACGAAATCCACGGGGGCCGAGGCCACAGAAACAAAATCCACGGGGGCCGAGGCCACAGAAACTGAGGCTCTGGAAGAGGGAGGAAATCCAGAAACAAAGGCCACAGGAGCAGAGGCCACAAAGCCCAAAGCAGAGGAACCAGAAGTGAAGGGCAACGGAGTGGGTGCTGGGGAGGCCAAGCCTACGGACCCAGAGACCGCGCCGGTGGAGGCCACCCCGGGCCCAGCCCTCTACCCTGGAGCCGCGGAGGCCTCAGAACAGCTGCAGGCAGAGCTGGAGACCAGGATTCGTGCCTTGGAGGAGGCGCTCCGGCAGCGGGAGCGGGAGGCGGCCGCCGAGCTGGAGGCAGCCCACGGCAAGTGCCAGGCCGCAGAGGCCGAGGCCGGCCGGCTCCGGGAGCGGGTGCGCGAGGCCGAGGGCGGCGGCGCCGCGGGGGGCAGCGGCGGGGACGTGGTCCAGCTGCGAGCCGCCCTGGAGCAGGCCCGGGAGGACCTCCGAGTCCGGGACGCGCGCCTCCGGGAGCTGGAGGCCGCCTCGGCCTGGCTGGACGAGGCCCGGGCTGGCCGGCTGCTGGCCGAGGAGGAGGCCCGGGGCCTGCGGGCGGAGCTGGCCCGACGGGACGAGGTGCGGCTGGAGCAGAGCCGGGAGCTGGAGGCGCTCCGGGGGCAGCTGGCCACTGCCACGGCCACCGGGGAGCAGCAGCGGGCAGCGGTGGCCCAGCTGGGCCTGGCCCGGGATGCGGCTGAGGCCCGAGCCGCCGAGCTGGCCGCGGCCTGCGAGGAGGCCCGGCGGGGCCTGGCGGAGCTGCGCGAGGCTTCCGAGGCCCTGCGCCAGTCGGCGGTGCCGGCGTCCGAGCATCACCGGCTGCAGGAGGAGGCCCTGGAGCTGCGGGGCCGGGCGGCCAGCCTGGAGCAGGAGGTGGTGGCCACCGGCAAGGAGGCCGCCCGGCTGCGGGCCGAGCTGGAGCGGGAGCGTGTGGGGAGCGTGGCCCGCTTGGAGCACGAGCGCGTGGTGGGCGCATTGCAGGCGGACGTGGCCCGGCTGGAGGGGCAGCTGGAGGACCTGGGACGACGGCATGAGAAGACCAGTGCCGAGGTCTTCCAGGTGAGCGTGGCCGGGCCCCCCCAGCATAGCCGGTGGCCGCTGGGCAGTCTGACCTGCAGCTGGGGTGTGGGGGGGGTGTCCAACCCCAGGGGTCCCAATCCTGTAGACACCTGACCCTGTTAGCCTTTCTAGCTGGATGGCTGACCTCGAAGCCGTTCTGATCTCTCAGATGTTTCGATTTGCGTTATCCTTTTAAAAACCTCCGGCCATTTTGACCCTGTCATTTTTCTGCTGGTTGGCACTTTTTGTGGTTCCTTTGTGAGACCCGTGCACCCCAGGGTCACACTGTTGCTTTGTCCCACAGTCGAGCTCATGCTTTGGCTCTCACTGTGCATGTGGTGTGAGGGAGGGATCAATGGCCGCTCAGCGTTTTGTAGGCAGTGAGCTGCCCTGATGCTCTCACCTCGTGTCCATCTTCTCCTCTGCTCTGAAATCTTCCTGTGGTTCGTCCAGCTGGCTGTTTTGAGCCTGTGATTTTGCCTTTTGAGCACGTTTGATGTTTCAGCCCAAAGTAGGGAGGACATCATGTCCAGAGATTTTTTTAATCTAATATTTTGAACCCAAAATATTTTAGATTTTGATGCTGAGTTCACTTTTTTTTAAGGCCAGGGTATATAGATATATATTTTTTTTGTCCCTGGCGGTAGACTTTTGATTCTGTCTCTTATCTTAAAAAACAAACAGGGATGCCTGGGAGGCTCAGTGATTGAGCATCTGCCTTTGGCCCAGGGCTTGACCCTGGAGTCCCAGGATCGAGTCCCACATCAGGCTCCCTGCATGGAGCCTGCTTCTCCCTCTACCTATGTCTCTGCCTCTGTCTATGTGTCTCTCATGAATAAATAAATGCAATCTTTAAAAAACAAGCAAACAAAAACCCTAAAACTAGCAGGTGTTATAACAAAATATGTGAATAAGAAGGAGCCACGTCCATTAGTTGTTTTCAGGAAAACATCTTTCTCTCCACACCTCTGTTTACTCAGCCCTGTGACAGAGATGATAATACTACTGAATTCTCATATGAAAATTCAGTGGTTTAACCTATATAAATTACTCAGGACAGTCGTAGTGTAAGAGATCGATAAATGGCAGCCAGAATTATTATTTTTCCAAGACAATGCTCTGTTAGAACCAGTAAAACCGGGATCCCTGGGTGGCGCAGCGGTTTGGCGCCTGCCATTGGCCCAGGGCACGATCCTGGAGACCCGGGATCGAATCCCACGTCGGGCTCCCGGTGTATGGAGCCTGCTTCTCCCTCTGCCTGTGTCTCTGCCTCTCTCTCTCTCACTGTGTGCCTATCATAAATAAATAAAACAAAAAAATTAAAAAAAAATTTCAAAGAACCAGTAAAACCTATGATCTACTTAGTAGAGTCCACAGTCCAACCAAAGGATGTCCATTTTCATCTTTATTCCCTGAGATTTATCTGCTTCACGGCCATGTGTTGGGGGGGGGAGGTAAAGTTTGCAAGTCTGATTGGCTTTATCAGTCAGTGTAGTTGATTTTTCTTTTTTTGATTGTTAAAGTGTAGCCAGTCCATACTGAGTGGAACACCTACTTTTTACCCTCGTTCCCCTGGAACTATTATTTCTATAAAGGCCAACGTTCCCCCGCAAGCCCCCACCCCAGGGTCAGTTTTTGCAAGCTAACATTCTCTGATCTTGATATTTTTGTGAAAATGTAGTCATCAACTCCCAGACATTTGTTTGCTTTCCACCCAAATTCTTCTGGTTTTCTTTCCTCTTCTAAGAAAAGCTGTAAGCCTTTACAACAGGTACAGAGAAGGGAATGTGGGTGTGAGAACAATGTGATGCCTTGAATGTTTTACTTCCCATATGCCCGGTGCTGTTCTAAGCCCATGCCATGCATTTGTCTATTTTCTCTTCATTATTGCACTGTGAAGTGGGGGCTGTCCTTACCCTTATTTTACATGTGAGGAAACAGACACAGAGAGGTTAAGTCAGCTGTCTGAGGCCACACAGCTGGCACGTCACAAGTGTCTGGTGGAGTCATTAGAATGTTCACGCTGTCTGGGAAGAACCCAGAACTCCCCCGATGTCAAAACGGGCTTGAATGGGCTCAGGCTAGAATAGAAAGGTTGGAAGATGCTGGGTTCCAGGCGCCTGGCGTCCTCATGTCCTCAGGGTCACACATGGGCTCGGGCTGCAGGTCCAGAGGGAGGCGTTGTTCATGAAGAGTGAGCGGCACGCGGCTGAGGCCCAGCTGGCCACAGCAGAGCAACAGCTGCGGGGACTCCGTACTGAGGCCGAGCGGGCACGCCAGGCCCAGAGCCGCGCCCAGGAGGCCCTGGACATGGCCAAGGAGAAGGACAAGAAGGTGTGTCCCGTTTTCCTGTGCTCAATTGGGGCGGGGGGTTCCCACCCATCAGAGGTTGGGGGAAATCCAAGAGTGTCCCAAATGAAAGAGTCTTGGGAGATTGGCCCATCTTCTCAATGGGAGACTGAGACACAGAGAAGAAAGAGGACAATACGGACACACGGGCTACTGTTCTAACCACGAATGAGAACCACAGTACCATTTATTGAGCACCTACTGCATGCTAGGCCCTGTGCTATGTATTGGACACATTTGGTTCTCACATCAAGTTCCCGTAAGATCGGTGCTCTCATTGCCCCCGTTTGAAGAAACGAGGCACAGAGAGGTGATGCCACTTGCTCGAGGTTGCACAGCCTTGCAGGGGTTCAGCCGGCGTTTGGACCTAGGCTCCCGGGTTCTGGTGTTCGGTGATGATGACGGTTGACAGCAGCCCACGGTTATGGAGTTGGGTGGTTTTCACACACTATCACTTTTAATTTCCCTCTAACCCTGAAAGCCAGAAGGCTTTCTGATTCCTGTTTTCTAGATGAGCAAGCTGAGAGGCAGAGTGAGTGGCTCAGAGTGACACGTTATATCACTCACCCGTTGGAGCCGCAGGGGCGTTAGCATAAAGTCACCCAGCCCTAGCTTACTGTGTGGTCTTAGACAAGGCACTCGACCTCTCTGAGCGCATTACTGCCTCTGTAAAATGAAAATAAAACTCTAGTCGAGATTATGGCTTATTTGTTGCAGGATCTCTCCCCCCTGGGCACTAGCGACACTCGGGTCAGGTCGTTCTCTGTGGGGGGAGCTGTGCCGGACACCGCGGGGGGCTGAGCGACATCCCTGGCCCGACCCCCTCAAAGCCAGGAGTGCCCCCAGTGTGACCAGCGCAGATGTCCCCGACACTGCCTGGGGTTCCCTGGGGGCGAGACGGCCCCTGGTTGAGAACCTCTGATCTGTAGTATAATAATAATAAAGCTCGGCGTTTATTGAGCGCCTGCTGTTTGCCAGGCACAGTTTAGATTTAACCTGTGCTCCGAATCACAGTAAGCTACCAAGGTGAGAACTGTGATTCTCCTTCCTTTACAGATAAGGAAACTGAGGCTCAGAGGGGTTAAGTCGTCTTCCTGAGATCTCCTTCAAGAAAGGGGTAGGGAGGGACCCAGACCCAGGGCTGCCCGACCCAGCCCCACCAGGCCAGGCTGCTTTGGGACTCCTGTTCTGTCAGCCTCCACTTTCCAGAGTCCGCAAGCGCGGCTGTGACAGGATCGGCAACCTTCTGGAAAAAGCCAGAGTCCGTGTTTTCGGCTCTGCTGTGTCGATGAATGGGCGTGGTCCTGCGCCAATGAAACTCGATGTACGAACACAGCAATGTGAATTTGATTTGGTTTTCATACGTCATGAAATATCATTTTTCTTTTGACATTTCCACGCACAACCCCCCACCCCCACCCTGACCATTTTAAAAACGCGGAGGCCACTCTCCTAGCTACGGGCCAGGCCTGGCCTGCAGGTGGGAGTGGGTCGGCCTCTAGGACGTGACATTCCCCTACCAGCCTCCTCCCGCCACGCTGGAGACGTCCCAAGCCTCCCAGGCTCAGAGTGACCGGAGGCCCCCCCTCCTTGCCCCCTCCCCACCAGATCACAGAGCTCTCCAAGGAAGTCTTCAGTCTTAAGGAGGCATTGAAGGACCAGCCAGTGGCCCTGGGCCCCCCCGAAGTAGAGACCCTCCGTGGCCAGGTCAAAGCCCTGCAGGAGCAGCTGAAGGTGAGGACACAGGACAGGGGACCCCAGGAGAGCCGCGGGCAGAAGGATGACAGTATTTTAGCTGCTGTCACGCGGGTGCAGGGGCTCTGGGTGTAAAGGGGGCTTTGGGGTGTGTTGAGGGGGCTGCTTTTCTGAGTGCCCGTCCCCCATACCTGCAGCAGGCTGCCAGGGACCACAGTGCCGTGGTGGCTTTGTATAGGAGCCACCTCCTGTATGCCATCCAGGTGAGTGCGCCCGGCCACCAGCACCCTGGGCCTGTTTTCTCCTCCGACCAGGGGGGCAGGTTCAGAGCCCTCGGGGGTGGGGAGCAGGGAATGGGATATAGGGGAACGGAGGCAGGAGGGCCCAGGCTCTCTCTCCGCTTCCCCCACCCCAGGGTCAGATGGATGAAGATGTGCAGCGGATTCTGAGCCAGATCCTCCAGATGCAGAGACTCCAAGCTCAGGGCCGCTGAGCATCCGAGCACTGACCCCCCGGCCCCCAGGCTCCGCGAGGGGGTCCAGGCTCACGCGCTGACCTACTAAGCTTGGACAGCGGCCTGGGCCCTCTGGGCTGTTCTTAGCTGTGTCCGCTGCCCCACTGATGCCCCGCATGCCCTGGTGGTGCCCCTGCCCCACCCAAGGATCTGTGAATCCCCTCCCCCACTTCCTGTTGGTCCTGTAACCAGGTGGCACCCCGGCCCCCAGGAACCCCAGGAATAAAAGCTCTCGGAGCAGAGGATGAAAGTGTATGGCCTGATCGCTGCAGGGAGGAGAGGGTGGCCCAGGGCAGGGATTAGCAGGTGAGGCGCACAGTCCCCGGTCCCCAGAGTGGGCACCGTGTGGACGCAGTGCTGTAAAGTGTCACAGTGAACGACCAGATGTCCGCGATCAACAAACCATCCAAATGTTAAGACAGCCTCCAAGTCTGCATTCTTGAGTATCTTTGCTCACCCCAAATCCAGCCCCGCTGGGACCCTCCCACCTGCAGCCTCCCTGCCCTTGGGCAAGTCCCCCGAAACCCCCTGGGGCTTCTTAGCACTTTCCCTGCTAAGGCGGGGGAGGCGGGAATGTGGCCTGTCCCCAGGCTTTCCTTGAGTGTCCAGGGTGGGCACCGTGTCTGTAAGGGCCCAGCCTATCCCTCGGGGTCCCTGTGGCTCAGAGTAGGTCCCGCAGGTGGGGCTGCCTCCCCAGGGCCCTGTTTCTGTCTCTGTGGCCCTGAGCATGGAGCGCTGGCCAGGATGGGTCCCTGCACTGTGGTCGGCGAGTGCAGGGGCCACTTCCGTGTCCTGCCTGCGTCTCTCTTCACCCGGTGTCGGTCTCTTGTGTTTCTGCCACTGGCTCACAGGCTCCCAACGCTGTCCCCATCCCCCTCTCTTCTCTCCATCTCTGTGTCTCTCCCCACACTGTCCTTTCTCAACCTTCACCCTGTCATCGGTCCCCTCCTGGGGTTTTCCCATCCATGTCTTCCCTGAAGCCGGAAGGAAGGACTGGCAGTCAGGCTGTTGTGGGAAAGGCCACGGGGTCTCCACTTCTCTCTTTCTCGAAGCCTCCTCTCCCGCCTCCACCCTCAGGGCCTCCGGAACCCTGTGCCCAGCAGTGACAGGTGAAGGGACCAGGGCTCCTCCGCCACCACCCGCTCAGCTCTGCTGGCCCAGCAAACCGCAAACCAGCCAAGGAGCCAGACCCCGGGAGAGGGGAAGTGTGGGGGCTTTGACCGGGTGCTGCGCTTCCTCCTCTGGTGGGACCCGAGTCCCCTGCCTCCCGGAGGTGCTCGGGGGACAGCAGAGCCCGCCGACTCATGGCCCCAGGCCTTCTGCTGGTGCTCGCCCTCTGGGTGGGCTGCTCACCCTGCCGAGGGAGAGAAGGTACGTGTGATCCGCCGGGGGCTTGGGGGGCATTGCCTGGAAACTGGAGTTGGACTGTGTACCACGGAATATTCTGGGCTGGGGCGGGAGCTCTCACGCCTACTGGATCACCCACTGGTGGGAGGGGGTTACCATCCCATGGCATGGATGGGGAGACTGAGACACAGGACGAGTTGCCCCTGCAAGTGACACCAGAAAGTGGCAGCGACAGCAGGGACAGAGAGAGAGAGGGAGGCAGGGAGGGAGAAGGGAGAGAAGGAGACATTTTAATTACATGCATTTGTTCCATGTGCTACTAAACAAAGCTGCTGGGAAGAGGGGCTACAGTAAGACAGCTCCCTCCCACCGGGGCTCCCCCGCCCCCCCCCCCGTGTGGCCCTCGAAACCTCAGTTTTCCCATCTGGAAAATGGGCTAATACTCCCTGCCTCCGCAGGCTGTAGTGGAGGCGAGAGATGATGCAGCCGTCTCTCGTTCACCTATTCATTCGCGCCACAAACCTTTATTAGGCACCTACTGTGTGCCTGGCGCCGGCTGGCAGGGAAGCTGGGGCTGAGCATGCTCAGGGCTCAGACAATCCCGAGGGAAGGTGGCGTGGAGGCTCACGCGGCTCCTTCTCCCTCCGGGGCCCCAGCAGCCCCCACCCAGCCCCGAGTGCGGTGCCGGGCCTCTAGGTACCCAGTTGCCGTGGACTGCTTCTGGACCCTGCCGCCTGCTCCACGCTCCGCCACGCCCACATCCTTCATTGCCACGTACAGGTCAGAGTGCGGGGAGGGTCCCCGGGGGTTTTCTCGCGGGGCGGGGCCGGGCGCCCTGCGGCCTGAACAGCTGGAGGCCCAGTGAGCACCCAAAACCCTCCCGGATTCCAGAGCAGCCCCGGCCAATAGGAATATACTTCCTAAAATACAACTTGTGAGTCACATGCTGAGTTCAAAACCTTCTAGAAGCCACATTCTAAAAAGGAAAGAGAAATGGAGTTAATTTCAGTATTTTTAAGAAAGATTTGATTTATTTATTCATGAGAGACACACAGAGACAGGCAGAGACACAGGCAGAGGGAGAAGCAGGCTCCCTGTGGGGAACCCGATGTGGGACTCGATCCTGGGACCTTGGGGATCACGACCTGAGCCAAAGGCAGATGCTCAATCACTGAGCCACCCAGGCATCCCTCAATATATTTTCTTCAGCAACATCTAAATATTCCAAATATTTCATTAATGGGGTTGCGTGTGGGGATCCCTGGGTGGCGCAGCGGTTTGGCGCCTGCCTTTGGCCCAGGGCGCGATCCTGGAGACCCGGGATCGAGTCCCACATCGGGCTCCCGGTGCATGGAGCCTGCTTCTCCCTCTGCCTGTGTCTCTGCCTCTCTCTCTCCTCTCTGTGTATTCTCATGAATAAATAAATAAAATCTTTAAAAAAAAAATGGGGTTGCGTGTAACTTAACATGCTTACATACAATTTATATATTTAAGTTTATAATAGAAGCCAATGTTATTCAGTAGGATTAAAGCAGGATCACTTTGGGCCTCCCAGGTGGCCCAGCGGTTTAGCGCCGCCTTTGGCCCAGGGCGTGATCCTAGGGACACGGGATCGAATCCCATGTCGAGCTCCCTGCATGGAGCCTGCTTTTCCCTCTGCCTGTCTCTCTCTGTGTGTCTCTCATGAATAAACAAATCAAATCTTAAAAAAAAAAAAGCAGGATAATTTCAACATGTAATCAATATTTTAAAAATTAGGGCAGACCCGGTGGCGCGGCGGTTTAGTGCCGCCTGCAGCCCGGGGTGTGATCCTGGAGACCTGGGATTGAGTCCCAAGTCGGGCTTCTTGCATGGAGCCTGCTTCTCCCTCTGCCTGTGTCTCTGCCCCTCTCTCTCTGAATAAATAAATATTTCAAAAAATATATTTTATTTTTTTATTTTTTATTTTTTTTAAATTTTTATTTATTCATGATAGTCACACAGAGAGAGAGAGAGGCAGAGACACAGGCAGAGGGAGAAGCAGGCTCCATGCACCGGGAGCCCGACGTGGGATTCGATCCGGGGTCTCCAGGATCGCGCCCTGGGCCAAAGGCAGGCGCCAAACCGCTGCGCTACCCAGGGATCCCACAAAAAATATATTTTAAAAAAATAGTGAGATATTTTGCATTCTTTTTGTACTAAGCCCAAGATTCCGTGTGCATTTTACACATAGGGCACTTTTCAGCTCACATGCTAAACTTTCACTGGAAATTCTTGATCTCTGATTAGATTTTATAAAATTTGTGGTTGGGGAAGTAGAGTCCCCCACCTGGATGGTCCTGAACAACCTTTTCACGTTTGCTGATGGCTGGAATCTGGACATGGAGGGTAGATAAAAAGCCGCCCTTGGTTGCACCAGCCACATTTTGAAGTGTGGACAACCACTCGTAGGCAGTGACTACTGCATGTGACAGCGCATTTGGAGCACGTGGAATGTTCTGGAAGGCTGTATGCAAAGTGCTGAGCTTGTCTCTAGAGTCCAAAATCTTGGGGCCTCAGAACTCAGGACAATCAGACTCTTATTCCAGAGTCTGTGAGTCCCTAGAGTTGGAAATATTGCAGTCGCAAAGCTGGAGTGTGGATGTTCCAGAGACCTGTACACTCTGGGCCCCTGCATCTCCGTGGGGGGCGTTCCCTCCCCACCCTGGGTCGCACAGGCTCTGTGGGGTTGGGGTGAGCACCGCCCCCCACCCAGGGTCACACGGCCAGCAGCAGTGTCCCAGCCCCGTCCCTGAGCACTGCCGAGCAGTGTCCAGGGCAGGCCCGACCTGCAGCAAGGGCCGGGGCCCTGACGCTGCCCCTGTGTGTCCAGGCTCGGTGTGGCTGCCCACGGGGAGAGCCGGCCCTGCCTGCAGCAGACACCCGAGGCCACCAGCTGCACCATCCCCGACGTCCACATGTTCTCCATGGTGCCCTACGTCCTCAACGTCACAGCGATCCGGCCCTGGGGCAGCAGCAGCAGCTTCGTGCCCTTTGTCCCAGAGCAGCTCAGTGAGTGTGGCCAGTGGCGGGGAGAGGGGTGGGGGCCGTCAGCTTGCTCCTGCCCCTCCGCGCTCCCACCACCCGCCTCCTGCCCTCCGTCCTGTCTGTCCACCCGGGGTCCTGTTGGCTCCACCTTTACAGGAAGGAAGCCGCCCACTTCTCCCCACACTGAGCCCGCACCTGGCTCTGTCTCCATCATTGCTCCGACCAGTGCAGTCGCCTCGGCCCGGGTCCCCGGCCGTCCTCCCCGCGGAGTCCTCCCCGCCCCTGAGCACCCGAGTCAGGTCCCGACCTCCTCTGTCCACCTTTCAGAGCTCCCACCTGCCTGGGGTAGAAACCCAAGTCCTTCCCGAGGCTCCGAGGCCCCCCAGGCCCTGCACGACCTGCCCCGTCCCCTCCTTGTCCTCTCCTCCTCCCTCTGTCCTATTCATTCATTCTGTTTTTTTCAAGATGAGGGTTTTTTTTTTTTTTAAAGGCTTTTTTTTTTTATTTATTTACGATAGTCACAGAGAGAGAGAGAGAGGCAGAGACATAGGCAGAGGGAGAAGCAGGCTCCATGCACCGGGAGCCCGATGTGGGACTCGATCCCGGGTCTCCAGGATCGCGCCCTGGGCCAAAGGCAGGCGCCAAACCGCTGCGCCACCCAGGGATCCCTGGATGAGGGTTTTTTAAAAATATTTTATCTATTTATTTTTGAGAGAGAGAGCGGGTGGAGGGGCAGAGAGAGAAGCAGAGTCCCCGCTGAGCAGGGAGCCCCATGTGGGACTTGATCCCAGGATCCTGGGAT